GAGCGGCCATTGCACTCCAGTCTGGGTGACAGAGGGAGACTCCAACTCAAAAAAAAAAAAGAAAGAAAGAAAGAAATGTAGGCTCTCGGAGAAATGGCTAAATATTGACTCCCCTCACTATGAACTGCACACACAAGATCATGTGTTATTCCAAACTCTAGATGAAAAAAGATGGTTATTTAAATAATGAACTGGTCTTCAGGATATATAGAGGAACTACTTCAATGTGGGCTCCTATCTCACAATTTATTAGAACTGAATTCCTACATTTTTGCTTGTTTATTAACATCCACAAGGAGCCCTCTATCACACATTCTTTTTCTTTTCATTTTTTCTTCTTCCTTTCTCCATACACACACACACACACACACACACACACATACACACTCACTCAGATACACTCTCACACAGATTCACACTCATATAAATATGTATGTACACACATACAGATATACACACAAATTCACATAGATTCAGAGGCTCCCCAGTAAGATTTGCTCACAGCCATGTAATATTTTATTTCAAAGAAAGTTTTGGTTTCTATAACCATTTATTTAAATGATCTCCTTTTTCTGCTAATATGTCCTCCCCATTATCAGAATTAAGAGCTTCTACAAAGAGTCAAATAACTCTTCTCACCTACCTGAATCCACTGAAAACTTTCTTCAAAAACTTTACATTTTTTTAAAAAATTTGAATCTGGAGATTGAAATTATATAATAACAATATTACACAACTGCCTAAGAGGGCAAATAATTCCCTACTCTAGCCCCACACTAGCACAGAGCCTGAAAATAATACATGATCAAATTTTAACTGTTGAATGAATTAATGCATGAATCATGACTGTATAGACAAATATGGTAGGATGATATTTTGCTTTTTCCTTGTTTGATAAAAATTGAATTTATTTCATTGCATTGTCAATTACTATTGAAAATACTGGCGCTGTAATTATTATCCTTTTTATTTTTATTTTTTTTGAGTTGGAGTCTCACTCTGTCACCCAGGATGGAGTACAGTGGCACGCTCACGGCCGCCCCAGCGTCAACCTGCTGGGCTCCGGCAATCCTTCCACCTCAGCCTTCCAAGTAGCCAGAACTATAGGCGCATGCTACCACACCCGGCTAATTTTTGATTTATTGTAGAGATGAGGTCTCACCAAGTTGCCCAGGCTGGTCTCGAACCTGCAGGCTCAGGCAATTCACTCATCTTGGCCTCCCAAAGTGCTGGGATTACAGGCTAAGCCATCGAGCCCGGCCTATTATTCTTACTTAGGAAAATAATTTTCTCTATTTTTCAACATTTCCCAAATGATAACAGAGTCATCACATGCAACAATTTTCAGGAAAGCTATCATATATCAAACATAGTACTATTTTATTTGTTGCCTATAATGTTTTCACTTGTGTTCTTTCTGCAGATTCACTCAGATTGTGCAGCAAACCAGCAAGTTACATATCGCATCTCTGGAGTAGGAATTGATCAGCCACCTTATGGAATCTTCATTGTTAATCAGAAAACTGGTGAAATTAATATAACATCCATAGTTGATCGAGAGGTCACCCCCTTTTTCATTGTAAGTGGACTTTGTGTCAATACATATGTTCAGGCCTAAATTATCTTACAAAATCTTAATCTCAGATCATACTTCATTTTATTTCAAGAATCTCAGTATTAGGCATTTTGGGTTGTCTCTTAATTCATAAGCATCCTATGACTCAAAAGAAATGCAGAGAAGATTAAGGGAGAAAGAAGTTGTTTTACTTGAGTGTCTGTAAAATGCTAACCTCTAGTCTATCTTCCCTGGAAAGCTTTTTAACCTTTCTTTGCTCTTTAAATCAGTTGAGAATGTTGGTCCCCTTTATTTAAGGTCAATTTCAAGTAACATTTCTGGAGCTACTGAGAGACGCGTTTATGAGTGAACATTACTAAAAATTCATGTTCAAGTTCACCTGAGCTCTGAATGTACCTTGGGAATGTAGCTTGGGATGCATCCTTAGCTGAATCTCACTCAATTCTTTACAGGAGCTGTCACATAGCTTACGTAGCTATCACATAGCTTACCTTTCTTTTCAAACCTTCAACTACATTTTCACCGTAATCAGTTGAATTTGTGACCAACTTCACCAAATATGTTCAGACCATCCTTCACAAATTCCCCCAATTATCTCTCTCTCCTCCAATTTGGAAATGTTCTTCATTAGATCCAAAAGCAGGACCAATTTTCTGCTTTTTCCCACAACTTTTTCTAAGATATTTCCATTGTCTCGTACCTGTTTCCTCAAGAATCTGATTCCATCAGTCGTTTTTTCATCTTTTTTTTCCTTGCTCCATTGGATACTCCCATTTTTCCTCAATCATCATGATCAATACCTCCTAAGACTTAAAATAAAAATAAGAAATAAAGAAGCCCTCCTTTTCTCTTGTAATCTCTTCTATTAAAGTCCCATTGATCCACATCCCAAAGCAACTTCAAATAACAACCTATAACTGCAATTTTCACTCACACTGCTTGTCTGTATTCCACTTTGAGTGTTTAGCCTTCAATTCCATGTCTATATTCCTGCTTTCTCGCCCACAGCATTGTCCCACAAACTTTAAATCAGCATTCTAGCCTATTGCTTTTCTTGAAGCACAATGTATTTTATATGAAACATACCACATATGTAAAATGTAAACATTACACTTATTACACTCCAAATATAAATAATAATAATAATACAAATACCACACTGCTAAGCTTAAGAATGTGACATTTCTTTAAAGCCCCCCTGTGAGTCTCCTGTACCACATTCTCAAATCACCTCCAAAAACTCCTGTTTCTAATTTCAAGCCCTATATTTGCATTGTTTCCTTCCTCACATGAATCTCTTGAAACACCTTGGTAATTCCCAGTGCAACCTGTTGAAATGCTCTTTTAAGATCTATCTCAATCATTATATCTTCCTACAAAGTCATAGCATTTTTGTTATTTCTTTATATGAATTATCTTGTCACTTTTAAAAAAATAATATTTTGCATTTAAAAAAAATAATATTTGCTTTCCCTTAGTGATTATAAGTACTGCCGGTGTCTGTGTTCTTGTAGAAAATAGTAATGATATGTCTTTTAATTTCCCACTTAATGCTCAAAGTAAGAACTTAATAAATATGTGTTTCATTGTATAATTATTTCTCTTTTTTCTCCCAGATCTATTGCCGGGCTCTAAACTCACTGGGCCAAGATTTAGAGAGGCCTCTTGAGCTCAGAGTCAGGGTTTTGGATATAAATGACAACCCTCCAGTATTTTCTATGTCAACATTTTTAGGACAAATAGAAGAAAATTCTAATGCAAGTAAGTAATATATTGGCTTCCATATCACTCTTCACAGCCAGGCACCTAACCAGAGGCTAAACTATGTCAAGTACATATCATGAATGTAAGAATTCAGCTATAGAAAAGATGAACAGAAAGGCTCCTCCTCAACTATAGAAGCCGCTCCAGTCTGTCAAACATGAGGAACAAAACTAAAGCAATGAGGAGGATTTTCTCACATAACTGACACTACCTTCGTAGGAAATTTCCATTAAGAAACTTCTAAAGTATTTTGCACAGTGGTGGCAGGGGCATTGAAATGAGAACTTAGCCTCTCAGCCTGATTGCAGTAAAGGGCAATCTTACCTCCTTTTGTTGATACAGCTTTTTTATTTTTTCAATTTTTAAGTTAATTCCTTTAAAATCACTTATAGAAATAGCATAAAAAACTTCATTTTAACATACCTACTTTTAACCTTTAAGTGGTATATTTTCTTGTAAATTCCAAAAATTCTTACACTTTACTTTTATTCATTAAAATAGCTGTACTTTCAGCTTTAAAAAACATTATTATAAATATGCTCATAAAAATTATGCAATATTAAAATAAAAAAGAATCGAAATCTACTCTTTGCTCTCTCAAGTATCATTCTTCAGAGGCAACCACTATGTGTTCTATGATTACATAAACATAAATAACATGTTTTTGAACATAAATCGTCCTTTACATATGAATCCACAGCATGAATTTTTATTTAAATATATTTTGAACATATTTCTATATCAGGACATGTAGACTTTCTTACTTTTTTTAATGGTTGCATTGAATTTAATTATACAAACGTGCCATGATTAGTTAATTGCCTAGTGAAAACATTTTACAATTTCCACTATAAAAAAGAACAAAATCATGACATTTGTGGCACATGGATGCTGCTAGAGGACATCATTCTAAGGGAATTACCACAGAGACAGAAAACTGAATAACACACATTCTCACTCATAAGTACAAGCTAAACACTGGGCACACAGGGGTACGATGACAGGAGCAGACATTGGGACTATTACAGAGGAGAAGGAAAGAGGAGTAATAAGGGTTAAAAAACCACCTATTGGGTACCGTGGTCAACACCTGGGGGGGAAGGAGACAGGCTCATTAGATGCCCAAACCTCACCATTGTGCAATAGAGCCATGAAACAAACCTGCACATGAACCCTTTGATTCTAAAATAAAATAAAAGCTAAAAAAAGTAAAAAGTAAAGACAAATCAATAAAATGTGCAGATTTTAAAAATAAAAACTATGTTAAAATGACTACAGAGAGATAAATGATGCTCTGGGTCATTTGTAGAAAAAAAATGGTGTTTGAAGCAGAGTTGGAGAGTAGAAAAGAATAGTAGTTCATGAATGAGCACCAGCAGCTGTTCACATTCTCCAATATTCTTCATCAAAGCTACTTCAAAGATTATTAAAAGTTAAGGGACAGGACAATCTATGTAGTGAAACAAGCATTTCTTTAGATCTACTTTGCTACCTAGCACTTAACTAAGGGCCACCCAGACCACAGCAAGAATGGGGAAAATGTTGGTCTGGTATTACCATCATTTTATTTTGTCATTGCATCCTACAAAAAATAAAAGAAGAAATTATGTTAGAATAAAAAAAAGAAAACCAGAATAGCACATTTCCCCTTTGTTTCACAATTATCAGTAATGTCTAGGTTTCTAGTAAAATGTGATTTTTTAAGGTAAAAGTATAGAAAGGAGCTAATATACTCATATGTTGAACGAATAAGAAGGGACACCAGTAGAGTGCACATTATATGGACCAACTAGCTCTAATGCCTTGTTGGAAAGGTGGTATACTATATTGTAACAAAAATGTAAATTGTCTATTTGTAATCAATTTTCCTTGATTTCTAGATACATTGGTGATGAGACTCAATGCTACTGATGCAGATGAACCAAATAATTTGAACTCAAAAATAGCCTTCAAGATCATAAGACAGGAACCTTCGGATTCACCAATGTTTATTATCAACAGATATACTGGAGAAGTTCGAACAATGAATAATTTTCTAGACAGAGAGGTAATTCTTTTTCTTTAAGTGGGTTTTTAGTCTCAAAGGAACAGATTCTAAAAGCAAGAGTACCTGAGAGAAAAGAGAAAAAGAAAATAATGTTTTAAAAGTTGAACTATTTAGCTTTTTCACATAATGGTAATGACGTGTGAAATATCTTCAAAATTTAAAAATGGAGATTCCTCAACTGCATTTCACACTGACATTTTTCATTTATCAGTTAATTAGAATTTGCCTCAATTTAAGAAAACTATATTGTAAAAGTATACAAAAAAAATGCATGAGGTGGAAGCAAAAGCTCACTTTTAAAAAATGTGTTCTATAATGAAATAAACTGAATAAATACTTGCTATATGTCCCCATCTGAGAGAGTTACAATGCACATGAACATGTTGGGGGCTTCAGGAATATCTCCAAAGAAACTTACTTACCTTTCTTTAACCCAATATATCCTAAACTCCATTGACAGCAGAACTCTTTCTTTTCTTTTAACACCTATTGATAACCTACTTTAAGAAATGAATCACAGGATCAGAATGGTCCATAGGAATTAAGTAACATCAAGACCAATCTTTTTGTTTACAAATATGAAAATCATTATTATTATTAACAGATTATTATTATTAACAGATTAGCATCAGCATTATGTGGTTTCTATCATGCCACGAGAGCCCATGATTTAATTTTAAAATGTCTTCTTTAATATATATTTTAAATATTGCCTTGAAATAAAATGTAGCCATCTTATATGCACATTAGGGGTATAAGTAAAAACATTTCATTTTCTAATAGATACTCACATTTTAATTACTCTTGTTCTTTAAAAATGGCAGTCTTTCTCTGCAGATGACTTTTAGGCTTAAGATACATTAGATAATTTTAACACTCTTTGGTGAGCTAAATGTTATTAGTTTCCAGGTTACCTAAATCTTATTTTTGCTTGTTTGAAAATTACTATTAGAAGAAATTGACTAGCTTCATCTCTTCCAAACTTTCTTAAACAGCCCAATGGAATTTCTTTCATGTCAAAAGATCTTTAGTGGTAAAGAGCTGTAAGAAAATGACATCAGAAGTAAAGAAACTCTGCAGTCATTGGGAAACTGCTAGAACAGATATTCTTACCTGGGGTCCATGAAGAGTATTCATGATGTCTCAAACTATGAATTATTTATGTTTATTTTTATCTTATTTATTTTTACTTATTTATTTTTTGAGTCAGAGTCTCACTCTGTCTCACAGGTTGGAATGCAGTGACGCAATCACAGCTATGCAGCCTCAACCTGCTGGGCTCAAATGATCCTTTCACCTCAGCCTTCCAAGTAGCTGGGACTACAGGTGCACACCACTACACCTGGCTAATTTTTTTATTTATTGTAAAAAGGAGATCTCACAATGTTGTCCAAGCTGGTTTCAAACTCCTGGGCTCAGGCAATCCTCTCGCTTCAGCCTCCCAAAGTGCTGGAATTACAGGCGTGAGCCACTGTGCACAGGTTTCTTTAGTTTTATATTTATAATTTCAAATGAGTATAAATAAGTCTAGGAAAGGTTCCATAGCTTTTACCAGCTTCTAAAAATGTAAGCACCATTAAATAGAATAAAGAATAGATACATCATCGATAACTCCATTATTGGGGAGGTGGTGGCCACAGTCCATCACCTCCCCAAAATATAAACCATTTGTCATTATTTTATATTCTTGCACACTCAGGGTTTGATTTTTTGGGGGTATGGAATTTTTATGCCACAATATTCAGTAAACCTTAATCTCTCTCCTCTTGATCATTCTGGTTTGTTTCACACTTCATAAAAATTTTCAACCTCTGGATATATTAAGATTAGTAGGGAATGGGGTCTTTAAAAAACATTGCTTCTTTTAAATGATACTGGATGAGCAATATTTGGAATAATTATGTGAGATGTGTGAATTTTCTGTGTTAACCTTACTTCTGTAATAGATTTATGTAAATGTTGAGCCAACATTTAAAAGAACTTTCTGTAAAACAGAGTATAGACTGTCTATGTTAAGTGTGATAATGCTTGTAATATGCATTTTCAGCAATACAGCCAGTATTCTCTTGCTGTGAGAGGATCCGATCGAGATGGTGGGGCAGATGGCTTGTCAGCGGAGTGTGAATGCAGCATTAAAATCCTCGATGTCAATGATAACATCCCATACATGGAAATGTCTTCAGTAAGTATTTGTTCTGGAAACTAAAAATTTTCAATTCTTTACATTCTAAAATTGTAGGGACAATTCTGTTTACAGATGTACCTGTTATGTTAAGTGACATACAACCCAAATGTAGACACACACCTTTGTCTTGTGTTTGATTATATAAAAGAAAATAAATGGATTTAAATACTGAAAAGTGAGATTATAAACACAGATATATTTTCTAAATAATGAAAAACTATCAACCTTTCAGTATAAGCCTAGTACAGTTCTCCTCTTATTTACACAGTTGTGTTAAGACTTTTACTTTTTGTTTCAGTATGCCATTACTATCGATGAAAATGCTCTCTATTCAGACTTGATGCAGATTAGAGTAATCGATTTGGATGAAGAGTTCACAGCTAACTGGATGGCAGTAATTTTCTTTATGTCTGGAAATGAGGGAAATTGGTTTGACATAGAAATGAATGAAAGAACAAATGTGGGAACTTTAAAAGTGATTAAGGTATTGTATAATTATCCTAAGTATTTTGTTTTCTTGGTCTTCTTTCAAAATGTTAAACTTATAATAATGCTAACATTTCACAAACTTGACTCACTGGAAGAACAAAAATTACTGTGTCTTACAATTATATACGACATAGAGCTTTTTTATATAGAATTTTTCTGTTTATATCATTTCAGGAAAACAGGCATTGAACTTTTACTTGAAACATTTTGTCAATACAATACTCCCTAACAGATCATACACACTAAAAGCATTTTAAAATAAAAATAGTACTTTATGCTTGCAACAAGTTGATTAATCCTTAAAGTTAATAGTTCAAGAATTTTTAAATTTTTTTTGAGTCAGGGTCTCACTTTGTTAGCCCAGGCTGGAGTGCAGTGGCATGATCACAGCTCATTGCAGCCTCAACTTCTTGGGCTCAGGCAATCCTCCCGCTTCTGCCTCCTGAATAGCCAGAACTACAGGTATACACTGCTACGCCCAGCAATTTTCTAACTTTTTGTAGAGATGAGGTCTCATTATGTTGCCTAGGCTAAGAATTTTTTTTAAGTAGATTTAACATAGACTTTAAAAAATGTTTATGTTAATAAGTCAATTATTATACACCAAGAATATTAATCGTGCAAATTAAAATTTGCTTATTCTTCCAATGTGTTTTCATAAAATTAAATTACTGCAAGTGTAGCATTATCATACTTCTGTCTCACTGTGGCTGCTGACCAAGGCTTATCGGGAACACTAATATGCTAGAGATTTGGTTTCAGTCAAAAGTGTTCTTCTGTGTCCCCCATATTAATAACTCACCACATTTACTTGCAATGGAATTTCCTCTGAGACTTGAGAAAAAATTCTGCCTCCTGGAGAGTTGATAGTGAAATTCTCTCCCTGTCCTACAAGACTTGTAGTTTTTAAAGTCCGCATTAGCTGTACATGGATTGTATGGATAGGATGTATGCAATATAATTCTACATAGTAAAATGTCATCTCTTGTTTTAAGCATTTTTTTTTTCAGAATAGTCCTGGGAAACAGACTCTTAAGAAATTCTGTTCCCATAGGAATATGTGGGGTTTGGTCCCATGTCCTCATAATGTGTCACCATGATTATAGCTTCTCTTCAACTTGAGACAGTGTGAAGATGCCTAAGTTTATTTCTCACAGTTTCCCTGCAGACTAGATTATATGATACCCATATTGCAGGTAAGCCAGTGAGGTTCAGAGAAAGCATGTAACCTGCGCGAGTTCTCATACCTAGTAGGTGGTTCTGCCAATTTTAAATTTAGTTTTCTTTAGCTGTGAAGTTCACATTCTTTCCATGATACTATCTAGTGTTCAATTCTGGGGAAACTGAGTCCTAATTTATTTCACTCCAAACTACTACATTACCTTGGAAAATTATTCAACCAATCTATCTTCAATATTGCCATGTTCAAAATTTCTATAAAATGGGGATGGTGAATTTTCTCATGACATAACATGACATGATATATTAAATCCTCGTTATAATTATATACATAGGTCAAGTGCAGTGGCTCACGCCTGTAATTCCAACACTTTGGGAGGCCAAGGAAGGATTGCTTGGGGCCAGGAGCTCCAGACCAGCCTAGACAATAAAGCTGGACCTAGTCATACAAAAAAATCAAAATTTAGCCAGATATGGTAGTGCAGGTCTGTAGTCCCAGTTTTTCGGGAGACTGAGGCGGAAGGATCACCTAAGATCAAGAGGTCAAAGTTGCAGTGAGTCATGGTTGTGCCACCGCACTCCAACCTGGGGAACAGTGCGAGACCCTGACTAAAAAGCAAAATTAAATACATATATATATTATATATATGTAGTGTGTATGAATATATAATTTTATAGTCATTCTTGGAATGGCAAATAAAACCAACATTAGAACAAAGATTCAAAATTTTTGTTAAATAGGAGAGCTCAATGTGTGAATCTCTATTTTTGTCTAAATTACTCTGTTGTAAGAATTTAGGAAAATATATTTGTTAAGTATGAGTATAATGGCATAGTCGTTTGTGGATTTTATGTGTTATGGATATTGACATTATTTTTCATAATAAAAGTACTATCTAATTATTTTATAATATAAAATAATCTTTTTCTAGAATAGTTGAATAAACATTTCTATTACATTCTATTACCTGATTTATTCAAAAAGTTACATTTATAAAGTAAAATTTATTATAGATAATTCTGTGTAGATAAAACTAAATGATTGCGCTTCTAATACATTTGACCCCTAACTTGCAATAAATAGAACTACTTTCTGAGAAACATGAAATGATTAAAGGTAGCATAAATTGTCTGTGTACTAAAAAATACATACATTTGACCATATGTGTTATTTTAAGTTTATGTCAGACATTTTCAGCTTTTCAGCAATGGATCAAGACCAACTGGATTTTTTCTCACTTTATTTGCACATATTTACATTGAACTGTAGATTTAAACTGTAAGACTAGATTGTGTATTTGTATGCATTTATACTTAGTTGAGGAAGAGAATTTTTTTAAAAAATTTTTAATTATTCTCAAGGATCTTCTGTTTCATCTAGAATGCTTTTTATTTTTATAGTAACACATTTTACTCTGTATTTTCTAGCCCCTAGATTATGAAGCCATGAACAGCCTACAACTTAGTATTGGTGTTAGAAACAAAGCTGAATTTCATCAATCAATTATGTCTCAATATAAACTCACAGTAACTGCAATCTCTGTTACGGTGTCAAATGTAATTGAAGGCCCAGTTTTTCGACCAGGTTCAAAGACATTTGTAGTAAATAGTAACATGGGATCAAATTATAAAGTGGGAGACTTTGTAGCTACTGACCTGGACACAGGTCTAGCTTCAACAACTGTTAGGTAAGAATGATATTTTTTAACTAATATTCACCATATATTGATCTTAAGTATACATGTTCTCTTTAGAAACTGTAAGTATCAAAATTAGAATATTTTTATTATTTTTGAAACCATTATTTGTCAACATTACTAACTACTGAATTGTTACTTAATTTAGAGTGTTTAACTCAAAATATAAAAATGTGCACAAAATGTAAGGTGTAGAACTATAAAGATGTTAATATGTGAAAATAATGTATATTGAAAATTTTGAAACTTCTGTGTTTATATAGCTTATTGACCAATTAGCTGATTATTACAGGATTTTAAGAAGCTCTTTTTTTCATTTCAAATCTGTCCAGCTTGAAATCGATTAGTTTAAATTAGTTAATTTCAATTACATTCTTCACTCTAGTCAGCACTTAATATTGACCAATAACACTGGTGTGAAAAATTAGCTATATTAGGAAAATTTATATTAAGGACATTTTTTTTAAAACACCGTCTATACAAATATTTCTGCCTATTCAAGAAAAATGTGTACATGCACCTCAATTCATAAATATGACTGTGTTTGAGAAGAAGAGTTGGGGAAAGACCTCACAAATGTGTCTTAAGAGTTCCTTCTTTGTGTTCTTCTAGAAGTTCTGTTCTAGGTACTATCACACTGTACTGCATGGTCAATAAGCTTTTTTGTACCTCACCCGAATGAATTTACCAAAGGCAGCCCCTCCTTTCAAGGTCCTATGCCCTGAGTTTAGCACAATACCTGAGAGAGAGGGAGTTATCTAACCATTGTTTGTTTTCCAAGTATGTAAATGAGCAGGAAAACACTGAAGTCAAAGATGAGAAGAGGAGAATAGGGTAGATGCCCAAGGCAAGGACATACTTTGAAAATTCAAAAGAAGTCTTGAAAAGTCATCCTGCTTAGTGTGACAAGAAAGGGTGGAAATAGAGGGACAAGTGCAGCCCAAGCTGATAAAGCAACTTCTTTGGAAAGAGAATGGTTTAGAATTAAAAGCAGCCCAGGAAATCCTAGAATCTGTGTCTTCCAGGATAGTTTTGTTTGTTTTGTTTTGTTTTGTTTTCTGAGTCAGGGTCTCACTCTGTCACCCAGGCTGGAGTACAGTGGCACCATCACGGCTCATGGCAGCCCAGAGCTCCTGGGCTCAAGTGATCCTCCGTTTCAGCTTTCTGTAGTAGCTGGGACTACAGGCACACATCACCACGCCCAGCTTTTAATTTTTATTTTTGTAGAGACAAGGCCTCACTATGTTGCCTGGTCTGATCTCAAACTCCTGGGCTCAAGCAATCCTCCTGCCTTGACCTCCCAAAGTCCTGGAATTATAGGCGTGAGCCACCGTGGCTGGCCTTTCAGGAATAGTTCTGCTGCCACCAAAATGAAATAAAAATGAGACTATAAGCATCAAAGGACTATTCTAACAAGAAAGTGGAGATAAAAGGACATTCCATCAAAATGGCTGCTCATTCATTTTTTTCTTAAAGTTTAATCTTTATAAACTTTGCTTGACTAGCTCCATTCAGTAAGATTTCCCTGAAAAAAAAAAAAGTCTTCAATAATTAAAACTATGTTTGAGGGATATAACTATGACTAGAAAAACATATTTTATAAATAACATAGCTTCTTTCTTTTTTTTTTAGATAGCTGACATTAATATATCATTTTCTTTCAAATACAGATATGTAATGGGGAATAACCCGGCTGACTTGCTAACTATTGACTCAAAAACAGGCGTGATCATGTTGAAAAATAAAGTTACTAGGGAACAATATAACATGCTTAATGGAAGATACCAAGGAACAATTCTATCTATAGATGGTAAGAAATCAACCTAACTGTTTTTTCCTCTTCTAGAGGAAGCCGTATGTATACTCAAATACTAAAATTTTAATTATTATAGTTTAAAGTAACCCCTTTCCAACAAAAGTTGCCATATGAGACAGTATAATCTAGTGCTTAAGACCATGAGTTCTGAAGAAAAATTTCATTAGTATCTTGTTCCATCACTTACTAGCTATGGTATCTTAAAGAAATTACTTAACCCATCTCTACCCCAGACTTTTTTTGAAATGGGACATAAGAATATGAATTTAGAAGGATGTGAGGATAATGATAACAATAACAACAAAGATTATAACAATAGAATAAGCACAGTTGAGCTGAAAGGGCATGGGCTTTGATATCAGATAGGCTGAATTTAAACCTATTTCTGTTACGTATTTCTGGAAATATTCTTATTAATTTGTTTAAAAAGTATATTTTGAGTCCTAACTAAGTTTTAGCCGTTGTGCCAGGTTCTAGAGTTGCATAAATGAACAAGGTCAGACAACTGGGCTCACATCTATATAATAGAGATAACAAAATAATCTCAAACAAATTATTCCCATATTTTAATCTAATAATTCCACTTTCAATAATCTTAGGAAAAGTCTAAGTATAAAATGTTTAGTGCACAGAGAGTGTTATCAGCACTCTCTTTAATATTTAAATATTTAAAATAATATAAATAATAGGTAACTGGATCAGTAAACCATGGCTCACTTGATATAAAATTATGTGGCCATTAGGAACTATGTTAATAAAAATATTATTTAGGCACAAAAGAATGCTTAAAGTTTAAATTTTAAAAAATGAAATGAACCATATGGTTATATCAATGTAACATAAATAATAAGCAACTCAGCATTTTAAAAAATCAACAATAGTTTTCCTTGGGCATTGCTACCATGAGTTTACTGTTTGTTTCTGTTTTTATTTTTCTCTATAATTTTTTACTTTTCAAGTTATATATAATATCCAACTATTTGTAGTGTAAAGAAATAATCCAATAGATCGTATTACTAGTAATAATAACAATTTTAATAATAACAATATAGCTTAATTTATTTAAAAACTGAGTCATAGTCAAGGAATGATTTGAGAAATTAGACTTGATGGGAATAAAGACATTGAAATAAGTATTGATGTAAAAAAGAAAATAGCTCTGTATTGTCACAATAAATGTATAATCACACTAAATGTATAAATATTTCTTCCATTTTGAACCTTATTGCAGACAATCTTCAAAGAACTTGCACTGGTACAATTAATATTGACCTTCAAGGTTCTAACTGGCCAGCTCGTGATAGTACTAGTACAAATACTAGCACTGATACAGGTACTAATACAGGTACCAGTACCAATGAGAATGGAAACAATGGCGGAAGTATCAGTACGAGTACAGTGGACAATACTAATGGTGACATAGTTACCAATTCAGATGCTACTGGCAATACCCAAACAGATGATTGGAATAATGGAGGTGTAGGTGGAGGTGCAGGCGTAGGTCAAGGTGGAATACTCTCAGACAACGTACATTTTGGTCCTGCTGGCATTGGACTGCTCATCATGGGATTCTTGGTCCTAGGATGTAAGTAACAACCTTATTTATATGTGCCTGCCCAAAAATGGTGGGGGAGGAGATACGTTTTCTGATTCTCAAAAAATATAGTCTCCAAATTCTTATTTTGTGCAATTATCAAATTTCTATGCTTGGCAATGTGTTTATAAAATGAAAAAATTGAACTTCTTGACCCCTGTGGGATCAACCATCCATGGAATGAAGGAATATAGTTAAAAGGTGAACTTCTTCACGCTGTTGGGGAAGGACTATGAAGAATAAAATGTTTGCAGTAAGTCTCAGTGGGATGAGAAAGTGCCGTAACAAGGTAGGCTTAAGTTGCTATTTGAGTGAAAAAGACAATCAGAAAAGGCTACATAGAAAAAGTAAATTCTGAGTTGGGTTTAACAGATGAATAGGAATTAGCTTGATGAACAAGAGAAAAGGAATGGAGAAAAAAATCTGTGTGTACAAAAACCAAAAGAATAAGACTGCAAAGTCCTAAAATAGAGAACTCCAATGTGGAAGAAATAAGGCATGACAGCGTGGTGAGAGTTGAAACGAAAAGAGAGGATCTTAAAGGGATTTTATGCTATGCTAACACTGCCTAGCATACTAAAAGGTGAGCTGGATAGACCTAGGCTTAAATTTCACTTTCTAAGTTTAACTGTTTGAGTTTTTCAAAGTACCTAGCCTTTCTTTTTTTTTTATTTTAATTAGTTTAAAAATGTTGTCACTTAACCTTTTTGAGCCTTGCTTTTGTCATCTGAAAAATAATAATACTTACCTCATAACATTGCTTTGATCATGAAAGAAAAGACCCACACATGAAGCACTTAGCACATTCGATGGCCACTAGAGTAACACTAGTCAGGGATCTAGCCATGAAAGTAGAATCCAAGAAACTCTCCAGGTGGCCTTTAATGTTACCTTGGATAATGACAGAAATTAGAGTGGGGGTGAACAACATGCTACAGTCTCTGAGAAATGAGAAGGGGAACACTGAAGGAAGTAGGTCGTCATTGGCAAATTATAATTAAATTAATGCCGGAGTCGGCCCTGGTGGCCCATGCCTATAATCCCAGCACTTTGGGAGACTGAAGCTGGAGGATTGCCTGAGCCCAGGAGTTTGAGACCAGCCTGAGCAGCATAGTGAGACCTTGTGTCTACAAAAAAATCAAAAAATTAGCCAAGCAGGGTGGTGCACACCTGGAGTCCCAACTACTCGGGAGGCTGAGGTGGAAGGATCACCTGAGTCCAGGAGTTCAAGGCTACAGTGAGTTGTGATCATGCCACTGCACACCAGTCTGGTCAACAGTGAGACCCTGACTCAAAAATAATAATAATAATTAATGCAAACATCGCCATTTTTAAGTGTGAAATCATAAAATCTTAGTGTCAGAAATACCTCAGATGTTTAATTAAAATACACATATAAAATGTAAAGTCAGAGCACTTACATACAAAATGCTTTTTCTACTTTTATTTTTCTTAGTACATTAGCAGCCATAAAAAGATGCTTTTTACTACATTGATTTGAAAACTGGATTTTCTCTGATTTTAAATAACTCACCCATTTGAACTTTTTTTTTTTTTGAGTTGGAGTCTCACTCTGTCACCCAGAGACTGGAGTGCAGTGGCCGCTCCTTGGCCATCGCAACCTCGACCTGCTGGGCTCCAGCGATCCTTCCGCCTCAGCCTTCCGAGGAGCCGGAATTACAGGCATGCGCTACCACGTCCGACTGATTTTTTAATTTATTGTGGAGATGAGGTCTTGCTGCCCAGGCGGGTCTCGAATCCGCGGGCTCAGGCAATCCACTCACATCAGCCTCCCAAAGGCACGAGATTACAGGCTGAGCCACCAAGCCCGGCTCCTTTTGAACTTTTTAATCAACATTGGATTCATCTAAACCACAATGAGTTTGGACATGCTGATAACAGAGATTAAAGTTGAGGCTCTTTTTCCATAGTTTAAAATATATTTTGAAAAAAATGAAGTGAAATTTCTTTCTTTTTTTAGGCATGGGAGGTCTTGCTATGTTGTCCAGGCTGGTCTCGAACTCCTGGCCTCAAGTGATCCTCCCGCCACAATCTCCCAAAATGCTGGGATTACAGGTGTGAACCACCACGCTTGGCCAACAAAAAAAAGAAATTTCTACACTAATACATAAGAGTTTTTCCTTATTGGCTCAAAATTGATTGAAGTAATAACCAGGAAATGTTCTATTTGAAGAGAGAATGAGTTTGTTTTTTTTTTTTTAAAAAAAGAAAACCTTCTCGTTAAAATTAGCCAAAGCAAGAAAAATGCAAAACTGCTAACAAACTTGCAGAATGTAACATAAAATGTATATGAGAAAAGATAATTCTCCAATTCTTAGCCTCATTGATTTCCAACCAACATTATAAAGTTTTAAAATTTAATACTTTATAAAAGTCACTTAATTACCCAAGTGCTAATTATTACTACTGTTAATAGCTAGCTTTCACTTTGAGTCTGTTTTTCATGTTGGTGACTACCTTTGGATAGTGTAGTTAATAAAAGACTTACAAATTATATATGGGCCTTAGAGCCAGTGCCTCTAGATTCAAAGTTCTCTCATCTAGCAAAAAGAAAAAAAGCAACACATGGAATTCTTTCCCTCTTTTTTCTTCCTCCCTTATTTCTATCCTTATTATCTTCCTTCCTCCCTGCCTTCCTTCTTTTTTCCTCCTTCCTTCTTCACAATTTTTAAATTTTTGCATTCTTTCTTTCATCCATTCATTCAAAACCATTTATCAAGACTGTCTTATATAAAAGGCTGATAAACAGATGAATAAGAAAACTTCAATTGACTCACAACAAAAGGCATTGCTAAGCAGTGCTGTGTTCTCTAAAATGTGCACATTCTATGGCAGCTAGAGTAGCAAAGTAATTTAAAGAAAAGACAAATGTGTAGGGGGAAATAATAAGATTTTACTGTAGAAATAAAGAAAAGCAAGCACATGTGAAAGAAAGAAAATAAAGACATGGAAGAAGAAACACAAAGAATCAAGCATTTCACCTGACATCTTCCTTCTCTCCTTTAGCATTTTTCTAAGTAATGACATGGAAAAGACTCATCATTTTGATAACATAATACAATTTGTAATTTGAATGCTATAAAACAAATTAAAATTGATGGCAGTCTAGTTCACGGAAGCTCACATTTATGTTGGTGTCTGATCCTGTTTTCTGAAAATTTCACAATGATTTTAAAGCAAAATGGAATTATATTAGGAATTCAAGTTTAATAATTAAAAGAGGAAGTTGTTTTGTTTTTTATAAGGGCCCACTGCTAACTCTGGTATTCCTCTCCATCATCAGTGGTCCCGTTTTTGTTGATCTGTTGTGATTGTGGAGGTGCTCCTGGTGGTGGAGCCGGCTTTGAGCCTGTTCCCGAATGTTCAGATGGAGCAATTCATTCATGGGCAGTAGAAGGACCACAGCCTGAACCCAGGGTAAGCGCTAATCTGTAAGAAGTGTCCTCTGATTGTCACCTAAACTCAGTCTTTACACATGCACCAAGATGGCAAATACTCGCAGTCTATGCTATTCTTTGTTTTGGGAAAACTAATAGGGAATATGAAGAGGAATCAAAAGTACATCAAAACTAAATGAGAGTATCCAGAGAAGACTTTCTAAATGAGGTTCAGGTTTTGAATAAATTTCAAACTTTCCTAAATTGTATTCTTTTAGGAAATCTGAGGTAATATAATAAACCAAATATACAACTACAGGAAAAAAAGAGTCATAAGTCATTACAAGTGTAAAAATATTGTTTTTTGTCTTTTAGGATTTGGCCACTATATGTGTACCACAAATACCATCTGATAATGCAAATATAATTGAATGCATCGACAACTCAGGTAAGAAAAAAACATTTTTTAACTGCTCAAATGACTAAAAAATAACCCTTTTTTCTTTCTTTACATACTTTACTATTTTTGAAGATCTTGGTTTTATTTGAAAGTGTTTATATTTTTACTTTTTAAACGACTAATTTGTAAGTTAAAGAGTAAGGAAAAATCCACTGTCATTATTGTTATATGCTATATTTTTAAAATCTTCCTCAATCTCAAAGAGTACTTAGGAGATGATCTAATTAAGACCTCTATAAATAGAAGTGCTGAACTGTAACCATGAGTCAGTTTTGGCTGTATGCATGTGGTGTAGTTTCTTTTAGCACACAGGTAACACTGTATAAATACAATGTCCCTTAAAACAGAAGTCTAGACCAGTTCAAAGGCAGAAGCTAGGGAACAATTAGAATTTCACAGTAAGTGGATAGTTACCAGTCTAATAAAAAGGTAAACACATTTCTCAAGGTAAATGCATGCTACAGGTTAGCTTATTTTTTCATAGTAATCATTACTTTTCTACTTTGAACTCTTTAAAATATAATAGACATAGAAATATTTATAGCTTATAGAACTGGACCTTATTCAAAGAACTGGACACACTAGTCTTTAAGCCTATTTCTCTGCTTGATTTGTCCATTGCCATTAATAACACCACTGTCTCCCACCTCAAAAGCAGTAATTCATTGTTGACTCATATCTTCCTATTCATTGACACCCAATCAGTTCCCAAGACTTGTCAAATCATCAAATCCATCAGTATTTATTTATGCATTTATTCCCTCATTAAGTCTACAAATCTTTGTACAAATCTTCACCAAAGTACCGTGGTAAGCACCGGGGGTAACTAAACCATTGAAAAACACACTTTCCCCAAACTCAAGATATTTTGATTATTAAAGCCAAGGGACGCCTATGTCACTGTCAACATTCTCCCTTCCGTGGCAGTTCCATAGTCCAAGCCACCATTTTATCTCACCTACCTCAAATATTATAACATGTTTCTACTCACCTCTCACATCCAAGTGCAAACCCAAGATTCTGCACAAAAACTTTTCTACTCATATAGCCATGAACTCTTCTCCAAAAGCCAGCGATTCTCATGTCTTTCTCTGGATGCCTTGTGCTTCTAACAATACATTGGGGTATTCTTATACTATTTTGTAACTTTTTAGAATTTGAATATTTCTCTCTCAATTTTCCTCAAGTTGAAAACAAGCTCTTTAGGACATAGGCTTTTATAACTTCTCCACAGCCCCCACTTCTAGCACAGCATATTGTAGTAGCTCAATAGATAATTATCAAATTGAGCATGGTATACAGGGATGCCAATAAAAGTATACACATTTAAAGAGGTTATCTATGTATTACTTTTTGCAGTTAAGTTACATTATGGTAGTAATGTGTAGCATGAGGTCCACTTAACCATGTTTCCACCATTTTCTTTGACTGTTCTGCCCATTGCATGGTGATGCTAGCATTTATTTGATTAATGCCATCTTTTGTGAGAACGTCATACTTAAAATGTGTATGTTTTTTTGGCACCCCCAGTATTTATATCTCCTTTCTTTATGTATTATCTTCTTTCCATTTCTTTTCTCACAAATGCATACCTATATGAAGAAATCATACATTATAGTAAGTTTTTAACTTTGAGTTTATAATATACCAAAGAAAGTCTTTTTAATTTGATCAACACTTGTAGGAGTTTATACAAATGAGTATTGTGGCAGAGAAATGCAGGATCTGGGAGGAGGAGAAAGAACAGGATTTGAACTGACAGAAGGAGTTAAAACCTCAGGAATGCCTGAGATATGTCAAGAATATTCTGGAACATTAAGAAGAAATTCTATGAGAGAATGCAGAGAAGGAGGTCTCAATATGAATTTCATGGAGAGCTACTTCTGCCAGGTAAGATCCCTAGCCACGTGTCTTTCTTACCCTACATGTGTCTGCTGCTCTACTCCAAGCTTTCACTAATTCCCAAAAAAGGCATTGACAGGAATCTCCTAACTAGGTTCTCAGCCTTTAGTCTTCATGTCCAACAATCCAGATTATTGCTGACCTTAGCACTTTACTCCCCAACTTAAAAACAGCTAATGACTCCCAGCATGAAGTCCAAAGTCCTCAACATGCCAATTAATGCTTACAAACTGACCCCTCCCTCACATCTCCAATAAATCCTTGCCATCAGCTCCATTTTTTCTTGCACCTTTGCCTTCTTGACTGCAGACTTTTCACCTCTATGCCTTTGCCCCTCCTGGAGAACTGTATTCCATCATGTTTCTCACAAGCTCCTATCCATCTTTAGAGACCCAGTTCAACTATTACTGCCCCTCTGAGGTTTTTACCATTAACCCCCTCATCCAAAATAGGATTTAATGTTTTCTCATCTGTATTTCTGAAGTACTTTGCTTATACATCATATAGGACCAGTGCTAAAATTTGTCAGTTTACACATCTACCACCATTTTTAGTGTCTCATTCATATGTTTTCTACATTATATTTCCAGTACCTAACTCAGTGTTAGCCACATAGTAAATATTCAATAAGAGTGGACTCAAGAGCTTTAGTATACTTCCAGGACATTCTAGCTTCAGATGATGAGAAGAGCATGAAACCTAGAAAAGCAGCAGATGAGAATTAACTTTGTCATTTCTGGGAAGAGACACAATTGCTTATTGTTACACACCATGTGATAGTTAACGTTCAGGAAGTTCTTGTCTCTGATACTGACTGGAAATATATTTCTGTCGTTCTACAATCTGGCCTCAAGTGTTTTCATTATCTCCCCTAATGGTTTAGAGGGTGACTGATATTGTTAAATAAAATATTAATACAAGTTTTCAAAATAGCAATACAATAATAGGGCTTATTACAATTCATGGGAATACTTTCCACCCATGTCCCTACATATGAATGTTACTTTTATGAAAAGAAAAGTTCTTCCTCAAAACTCTTGTACTTACAGCTCCCTCTACCCAAACCAGTCTATCTACTTCACTCATTCTGTCGCTTCATTTCAATCTCTGGTCAAACATCACTTAATCAGAGGCTCATTCCTTGACCACCCTGTCTGAAAGAACAACCCCATCAGCTTCACTGTCTTTATTCTGCATCTGACATATGTTTTTATGTAGTGTGTGTCTCCCCCTACTAAAATGTAAGCCCTGCAAGAGCTGATATTGACTTACTTGACTATTTTTTAAAATAAAATGTCACAATAAGTAGATTTCCTATTAGGTATTTAACCTGAAAGTTTGCAATCCAGTATTATGAATAACAAAGATGAAATAAAAGTACACATGTCTATGGGCTTTTACTTTGAATTTACAGAGATTCTTTTTTTTAAAAAACTGTCTTTGGTCACCTTCAGTTTTGAAACCAAAAGTGGCACAGACCCACAGTCAAATTTTCCTGCTGCAGTGCTACAAAAACTGCATTGTAATAAAACTTCACAAAACCAATCATCTTCTCTCCATTAGAAGGAAAGAAACACAATCCTGAATGAACTTGAATCAACTATAAACTATCTTTTTTAGACAAAAAGATATACCCGTTTGTGTACTTCAAGTTCAACATTTTAATGTACCTCCTTCTAACTTGGATATAAAATAATTCAAGTGATTGTGTGTAGGTGGGTGACTTTACGTCCAAAGTGAAGTTACACACCAGCCCGTCTAAGTATATTTTTTAAATCAAAACATTATTGGAATTATAGTTCAAATAATTTCTAACTAAATTATTTCAAGCAATTTAAATGATTTTAAAACGTTTCTAGTAGATATTAGAATTTTGTTTTACACCTTTCTCTTTGGTAGAGCTCTACAAGAAAAACTAATGGTAAACACTCTTCTATTATTGTTATATATATTCCCAATTTCATTTTCTCTCTCCTCTGTAAATCCAGAAAGCATACGCTTATGCAGATGAAGATGAAGGACGCCCATCCAATGACTGTCTGCTCATTTATGATATTGAAGGTGTGGGCTCTCCTGCCGGCTCCGTGGGTTGTTGTAGCTTCATTGGAGAAGACTTGGATGACAGCTTCTTGGATACACTAGGACCTAAATTTAAGAAGTTGGCTGATATCACCCTGGGGAAAGAAATTGCATCCTATCCAGACCCTGATCCTTCTTGGCCACCCCAGAGCACGGAACCAATTTGCCTGCCCCAGGAACCAGAGCCATTTGTTAGTGGACATCCACCCATCTCCCCGCATTTCGGCACGACTACAATAATGTCTGAGAACACCTACCCCTCCGGACCTGGTGTACAGCATCCTATGTCTATTCCTGATCCTCTGGGCTATGGTAATGTCACTGTGACCGAGTCTTACACCACCTCTGGCAATCTGAAGCCCTCTGTCCACATTCACGATAACAGACATGCATCAAACGTGGTGGTGACAGAGAGGGTGGTTGGCCCAATCTCTGGCGCTGATTTGCATGGAATGTTAGAGATGCCTGACCTGAGAGACGGGTCGAATGTTATAGTGACAGAAAGGGTCATAGCTCCAAGCTCAAGTCTACCCACCTCTCTGACTATCCCTCATCCTAGAGAGCCTTCAAATGTGGTAGTGACAGAAAGAGTAATTCAACCAACTTCCGCCATGATGGGCAGTCTGAGTATGCACCCAGAGTTAGCCAATGCCCACAATGTGATTGTGACAGAGAGGGTTGTTTCTGGCACTGGGGTAACTGGAATTAGTGGCACAGCTGGGATCAGCGGAGGCGGTGGTCTAGGCAGCAGTGGCCTGGTTGGCACCAGCATGGTTGGAGCTGGAGTAAGTGGTGGTGGCATCGGGCTGAGCAGCTTGGGTGGAGGTGGGGGCCTGAGTAGCAGCATGGGGGGGGCAGCCACCATGGCCCACATGAGAGGCTCCGCTGACCATCACTTTAGCCAGACACTTGGATCCGCCTCCCCTAGTACAGCTCGAAGTCGAATCACAAAGTACAGCACAGTGCAATACACCAAGTAGTTAAGATCCCAGAACACTCTTTCAGAGTCATTGGGATTTAAATTTAATTCCCACCACCAAAAAACTAGCAGTGCAATTCATGACGCAACACTCAATACTCAGATCATTGAAGAGCAAAGTGAGAAACCACAATGAGAAAACTAAACAGAAACATTGCTGCGAGGGGAGAGTACTTCCTAGCACTGGCAAACTTTTTTCTTTTGTTAGGGCTAATGAGATCATGAACTAACAGTTGATCCAGGCAGGGTCTTCTTTGCCTCTCTGTGGTCTGTAGTATATCTCCAGCATGTAGAATAAATAAAACTCAGTCATGTAAAAGCACTGGCCTTAAGATGGCAATTGGCATCATTTTCCTTACTATGGTTTTGTTTTCGTTTTTTTGGTTTTTTGGTTTTTTTTGCCATGAAGTTCAGGCAAAATTCAAAAAGAACTAAACATGCGATATGTACTCATTTATGTGGGAAAAATCTAAAACATATGCCAAACATTCTTTCGATTCACAGATAACATAAATCAAGACCCAACCACAGATTCAGAACAGGGTTAACCATTAAAAATGTTTTTGGCTACTTAGTCAAGTCCACAAGCCACCAAGCTCTCCTACATTTATAAAAGCATTAGGTAAAATCAGATTCAACTTAGGAAATATTTCCTAAGAGGGAAATTCCATTAGAGAATGACAATAGGGTGAGATTTGTTCAGGGAAAACTGTCAGGGTCTGAGCCTGAATCTTAATTTGGGGTCTCAAGTTAACTCTCCTGTGGAGTCAAGGACTTTTCTGATTCTAGTTTGTGTTTAGTAGTAGATGTAGTCTTGAATATGGCTTACTGGTGAGGTTTGAGGAATAGCACATTCATTTCTCCCTTTACCACTGTGGTTATGACTTAATAAGGGAAAACTTGTAAAGCTAACTTCTCATATTGAAGCGACGCCTGACATGATTGTCATCACTAGTGGTAAACTGCCTTCCATGTAGGCACATGGGGACTGTATTTTGTTTTCAGATTTCATTTTTAGTATGTGTTATTCATTCATATCCAGCTCTTTATTACATTGCTCCTACATTAACATTATTTACTTAAACTGAGCTGTGAGAAAAAAAAAAGGCTTGCAGTATGGTTAAGCTTTGGGGAAATTTTTTTTAAGGGGATCGAAAAAAATGTTTCTAGGATATGTAAAATATTTAATGGGGAGGGGAAAGTTAGATAAGAATTCTTTTGTAAAGTAATACCATACTAATTATTAGCTTTGAGTTTAGTACATTCTTTTAACAACTCTCTGCTGACATTTTGCAGGGATCAATCAGGAACCTTTAACAGAGTTGATGATATTGTGTTGACAAGGAAGAAATAGTACCAGATAAACCTATTTTCTTAGTCTATTCCACATCCTAACTAGCATAAACTTTAAATTTCTGTTTCGATTTGTCAATAAGCTCTGATTTAGAGATAGTTTCCAAATTATATAGTATATTTTTCTAGTTTCCAAATTTAGTACCTATTTATGATAGACCATTTCTGTGTGTTTACTACATAGTGCCTCCTGATTTAAAATCTCTTTAAAAAAATCAAAGCATTCTAAGAAAAAGGTAAATTTACTACTGCATGGTAGAGAAATTTTTTCTTATTTTAACATTCAATATAAGCTTGCTAAATTGAAACTGGATATGACAAAATAAAGTTAGAAAAAAAATTGTGTCCTGGAGTTGTGAATTATATACAACTTTTAAAGATTTTCTCCCCAACTACTCACATTTCCTGTTGTGTTACAAGACTGAAAAATAGATATTCAAATTCTAACACTTGTCGGAGGAGGCTAGGAGTGAGTTATGTTACCTAGACCTATTTCGCTCTATATAATAGCAGATGAGGTTGATATTTTAAAAGCCACAATATACATTCTACTTTAACTCTGTAGAATATGTAACATTTTGAAAATCTGCATGTCAAAATGTGGAGGTGTAAATAAAGTAATTCAAAGAGAGTCTTTTATTTCTTTCTGCCACTTAGGGGGCTACATTAAGGATGGGTGAATTTTGCAGAAATAAAGCCCAAAGATAATTACTGAAGTATACTTAAGTATGCTTGGGTCCAAGAGTTTGAAGGAATTCAAATATTTATCAAATATTTAGTTAATTAATTAATCAAAGGAAATGGTATCTGATCACAGGAAGCTTATTTGTTGTTTTGATATGACATATCATCATAAGTCTTTTCTTAAGACACCAGATACCTTCTAGAGATATTTTTTAGGTTGCCTAACAAACAACAGAGAAACCATCTTTAATAACTGCTATTGTTAAGATCCATTAGTTATATAAAATCATGGAAGATACAAGAAAAAAATGGTAGTATTAGTAATCTATCTTTCTAGGAAAATACTTTCCAGTCATTTTTTTTTCAGCATTGTACACTGATGTTCTGTTTAGTCTCAAATTTTAAAATTAACTTTTCGAGACATCAACCATTCTAACAGTTATTTGAAGGTATTTTATTTTTCAATGAACAGCCTTTGACAAAATTTTACTCTTTTCTTTAGATACTTTAACTCATATACATCATTTCATAGATCAAGAAGAGATATAGAAATCATTTTATAAGTGAATAGTTATAATTCAGATCTGAGCACATTTTGTTAACTTGCTTTTAACAAAAGAAAGAAGAAAGAGATAGTAATTTAATGTCATGTATATGTAGTTTAAAAACAAACCATATGTTTATAAAACATCTGACTTTCTAAACAAGTAGTCCTTAGGGTCAAAATCAGTGTACCATAAAAACTTTATCACTTAGTATCAACCAAAATACCATCTTGAGCTAATTTTGGCTTTAAATGCCAGATACCTCAGCCACATATTATTTACCTCTAAACATGCTGCCTGATGTAAATGTATTTGCACTGAAATTTTTAAAGAAAAAGTACATAATTAGGGTTTTTTTATATAGCTTTACTTGTGTAAAAAGTTTTTATTGTCATAATTTTTACTCAAGGAAAGGGTCTGACAAAGTTTTAATTACATATCTTCAAAAATTACATTTTCACTCTAGTAAGTAGATGTTTTTATTTATTTCTGCATTTATACCAATAATTCATTGTCAGTCAAAGTGTAACTACCCTTTGGCTTTAATAGGAGGTTGGAGGTGTCATGATCATTAACAAAAATGGCCATGGCTATTTTGGAAAGACATTTAAAGCCCAAAACTAACTTGTAAAAGTATTTGGCACATTCTTATTTAATACATTCCAAACTTTTTGGGGATTTCAGGTTTAAAACTCACTTCACATTGCACTAGAGTACACCAGTTCAAGGTAGATTGCTAGTACCCATGAGGTCCAATCTGTCTTCCAGTTCCAGATTATTCAGGTTACATTAAGATGAAACTTGAATCCATCAAATAATTTAAAAACACTGAGTACACTTGTTTAAATGTCTACATTCCTCCCAATTTAGTTATATTTGAATTAAACACCTTATCACTAAACTGTACTTAGTCTAGCTTATTTTTCTTTTGCTGTCTATTTTACACTCATTTTTAAACTCATTTCTGGTGATATTTAAAACAAGGTACTTTTCTTCAGATTTCAGTATAAAAGTTTTTGGTGTATTGGGTGTTAGTTTCTTGCTTGGTCATCAGTTGGCTATTTTAAGTTGGTTTGTAATTTCCAAAGAGTTATGTTTACAGCAATAAAATGATTGATATGCCTTCATTATCTTTTTTGAATTGTAAGAGGGGAGGTTTTAGACTCTAAGGAATAATTAGAAGCTATCAAATCTAGTTATCACTTTCATCCCATATTGAAGGAAGAGATAATTATTTTATTTTCACAATGTTAAAATATATTCTAATTCCCCATTTTTTAGCTTTCTTTTTTATGTGACTGAGGACATTACTCCAGACTACACTTAGTGATGTCAGAGCACAGCCTTGACCAGATGGTTAGTGCCACACAAATGAACAGATGATTAAAGGCTTGTATTTTAAACTCTCATTTGATACTTTTAGCATCTTTATGCTTTTCCCTTTCTCTGTTTTACCCTCCACTTTTAAAAATTGTTGTCCACACCAGCATTTTATTTATTTTAAAATGGCTTTCCATCTTACTCTCTTTTAAAATCATACCCTTTCATCTTGGATGGAGTGCATCTCCTTTTTTGCTTTCTATTACCACCTCCTGACTATTCTCATCTTTGTCTTGCAAAAAACTTTACCCCTTTCAGACTCATGTAAAACCTTCCCTCTAGCCTCTTCTTCACAAGGTATTCACTTTTAAAGAAGACTCATATCTTGGCCTACAGTCTTCTGCAACTTTCGAGGGTGTTCACAGTAACTCAAATTTCCACATGAAGGAACCATTCAGCACCTGGGTTCTCATTTCTAGGCCTCTGTCTTTCCCACTCCACTCAGCCGCCATACCCTCGTGTGAAGCCAGCGCATCGGCACCGTGAATGCCTGGGTGTCAGATTCACAGCTTCTGACCACTCCCCCGTTATCCTCCAGCTGACTTGCTAACGATTCTGATCGTTGCCTCTTCATCAAAGCTTCAGTTTGTTAACTCCCACCACGTTCTCGCTGTCTGTGGGCTTCACCTCCCTCCTTCCTGATCTAGCCTCATGAGTCCAACTTGAGTCACTGCTTTGTGAATACCTTCAGCTTCCTGGCCCTGCTGTCTCTCCCGCATCGCAAACCTTTCACCTTCCATCTTTGTCTGCACACAGACAGCTAAGCAAATTATTCAAGTGAGCTGGCTGATTTTATTTTGAACACTCCATCTCAAATCTCCAATTAATATCAAATGCTTCCCTGCTTCTCTAATAAACTTCCCCATCTCATCAAACTAGATTGCTACAAAGCGTCTTCTTTGTCCTCGAACCTCCCACCTCTCCTCTTCCCTTCTCATTCTTTGTTGATGATTTAATCTTACTGTTCACTGAGAAAACAAAAGTCAGCTATCTCAAATGTATGCATCTTCCTCTGCCAAACCTACACACCCACCTGCAA